GTGTAGTGCATGTGTGTGTGTGTGTGTGTGTTTGTGTGTGTGYGYGCACACGTGGGCTTACGTGCTGGGGGAGCAGCCATAGTTGATAAAGAAAGGTATGATTTTCCACTGTATTTTGTTAGTCACTAAAATGCTGGAAGGATCAGCTTTATTTAACCCTAAATAATGAATGTTTATTGCAAGTGTCCTGTGCCATTAGCATAACAAAGCCGAGTACTTTATCCTACTTAAGCCCTGATCTTTACCAAGTGCACAATCTGAAAAGCAGGCAGGCTCAAAATCGACCACCATCTGCTGTCCCCAACTTGGAATCACAGTGAGATTTATGCAGCCAAACAACCAAAGATCTGGTCTGCCTGCCTGTCCAATTAGTTAAATAAACTGAAAAGGCTTTGCTGACAAAGAGGCGATAAATGCTCCTATGATAATTATAGAATGGTGTTTTCACTTCACACCAATTGGATGTATTTAATCCTGCACCCAGGCGTCACTCATGCAATTAATAAGATGCAGGGAATTAAGGATGATGAAGGGGACCAGGATGTGTGGACGCCAGATCAGAATGCTAAATCTGGAAGCACCAAGTCAGTCCTGGTCTCAGCTGCTGGGGACATGGGTCACACTGCATTGCTGCCCACTCTGCATCCCATGTCCCTGAAGGCTGCCCATTGTGGGATAGTTTCAGCATTCACTGATGTTATCATGAAAAGGCAGAGACTTTGTGTCACTTCTCACAAATGAAGGTGTGTAACTCTTTGAAATGGGAGATGGATAAACTGAATGATCACAAAAAGCAAGTTCTGCCATGTATTTTGATTTGTRATGAAATTACATAAAACCAACTTCATAACAAATGCATTTCAGAGTTTATTAGCATAAGTGCATAACAAAAAGCCCCAAATTTGACAAAGCTGCTACTTCTTAASGCTACCCTGAATGGCACTCAGGAATTTTTTTTTTTTTTTTTTTGGAACTCAATGGAGAAGCTCACTTTTTAGAGCTCCCCTTCCCACAGTCTGGGAAATATTTATACACAGGATGAAAATCTATCTTGCAGAGAAACCCCATAATTCCACAATTAGTCAAACAAATTTCAAATACTCAGATTTAAAAATATTTACATTCTCATTTAGGGTCCAGGAAATGATTACTAACATTTACAAACACATGTGACATCACAGAACAGGATCTTGACCATGATGTAAATTAATTCAATCTTAAGTTAAATCTGTAAAAGAACTTCAGCCCTGGGAAATRGCAAGCAAAATCTGCTAGAAGGAACCTGTTGTCATATAACAGATAAGAATAACAGCTTGAGATAGGAATTCCAGAGTTTCTACCTAAGTAACAGATGGTCATTATCCCCAAGAATGGATCAAAATACAATTCACTTTTCAACATGCACTTGGTAAAAATTTGCCCTAGGGATCTGGTGTGAAATTGGATATTTAATTATTGCATGTGTGGAGAATTTCAATTATTGTCCTTTTTCTTTCTTTCTTTCTTTCTTTCTTTTTTTGTTTTGTCTTTATTTTTGTTGATAAATCATGGTTTTTGGAGCCAGATATTTTCAGATCTCATATCTGGGATTCTCATGCTCAAGCTATTGTTTAAGGTGATGGAAATATGTAGGGAACATTAAACTATTTAGCAGGTGCTAGAATGAAATGCTTTCCTGTTTTCCTGATTTTTTGACAATGGAGAAGCTAAAAAGAAAAATAATAGGAAAAGGCTTTCCTATATTCCTTTTGGTGTGGGGTGGGGGGCTTGTTATTTTGAATTTAGTGAATTCATTCAATGCAGGCCACCATGAACAATGTACATAAGCAAAGAGAGGAACGTTTAACTGCTTACTACATAGCTGACCCAGGCAAGAAGATGTCGGGATAGGCCTTCCAGGAGATTTGCTACTCTGTCACTGAATAAAAGGATCACACAAGGTCAGCAGTGAGCAAGACCTGCTTCCCTTCTGGCCCCAGAGCCCAGTGAATTATCACTTTTCTCAGTGACATAGGGATGTGGAGCACAGCAATGTGATGTGATGATGATGATGATGATGATGATGATGATGATGATGATGATTTGGTGTGTGGGCAGCCAATTCTTGCCTCCAAGGCAGTCTTAATTCCCATAAAAGCAGATCTAGATTCCCACTACAAAGAGGGTTCACTGAGTCCCTCCCAAGGCACTTTTGGACAATTGTCTTACACTTGGTTTTCTACACTACTCAGTCACCTTGGGGGACTGTCCTTCTGCATCACACTTGTCTAATAGTGAACAAGAAAAAAGAGCTACGGTGGTCACCTGAAATTCGGAAATGGGTAGCCATAGGGAGATGCATGTTCAAGGGGGATCTTCTCCCCTTTAAATAATCTTCTTTAGAAGATGAAGGATGGGAAGGGTGAGCTGGTCCTGGATATTGCTTTTTTCATGAGTATCTTAGAATTACTGAGTCTATGAAAATTTGAATAAAACAAAAACAGAAAATACCCTTCAGGGCTGAGGTGTAGCTCAGTGGTAGACCTGCCTGCCGAGCCTGTGTGAGACCCTGGGTTTGACCTAGCACCACACCACACCACACACACACACACACACACACACACACACACACACACACACACTGTCTCATTGGATCTCTGGCTGGGCATGACTAAGTGACCTTGGTCCCTCTGGTTAAGTGACAGTAGTTTGTCAATGGCTAGCACTTGGGTGATCAGCATCAATTTATCCAGAGCTAAGGACCTCTGACTCCCCCAAGCAAGGATTTATATACCTTTCCTAGTGTGGTGGTGCATGCCTGTAATCCTAGTGGCTCAGGAGGCTGAGGCAGGAGGATCCCAAGTTCACAGCCAGCCTCAGCAACTTGACAAAGCCCTAAGTAACTTAACAAGACCCTTTCTCAAAATAAAATATAAAAAAAGGCTGGGGATGTGGCTCAGTGGCAAAGCACCCCTGTTTTCAATCCCCTGTACCAAAAATAATTTGTATACCTCAAACAAGTTGACAGAGAAATAAATGGAGGTCACCTGGTCCAGGGATGTTGGCTATTCCTGGGTAGTGGGGCAGATAGAGTAGATAAAAGAGCGCTGCTTGCCAAGAAAAAGAGCTGACGCTGTCAGAGGGTTGAGTAACTGTGTTCCTTATCAAGCCATTTCCCCACTGTGGGCCCCTTAGAAGTGATCCATGATGTCTCGGGCGTTGGGGATGGAGCTGTATGCTGCCACCTACAGAAGCATTTGAACACAGATGTCAGAAAATGGGGCTGTGCTGTGTGAAAAGTCAGAATGCCATGGAAATAAGAAGATCCCCAGGGTGACCTCGGAGAATTCAAGGCTCGCAAGGTCTGCACACAAACGGTGCAGGGACTGTGGAAAGCTAGAACAGGAATGTCTCCCTCACCCCAAATGAGAAAGGCAAGAATTTTAAAGTCCTAGAGAAAAAAGGTGTTGCATTTTCGTTTACTTCACAAAAGTGCCATGTCTTTAAAATCATAGAATGGCTGATATTGGTTCCCATGCAATGGACTACGGTTTCCATACATTGCCCAAAGTCCTTGCCAAATGGACACAACCTTGATCTCCTTTCAGTATGAGACACCCGATTTCCAACTGAAAACTGGAGAAAATGACATAACTTTAAAAAGCAGAAGTTTCAGAGACCCTATCAAGCCCTTAAATGCCTCCATCTTTCACGTATTCCCCTCCCCATTTTGGGGTGTTCTATTTTCTTAAGAAAAAAAAAATATATATATATGCATACATGTATATATATAACATATGGATATATGTATGAACCATAACACCTACATTTCAAAATTGACTAAAGCATATTTATGTAACTCTGAAGGCCACACACCTGTCAGCTGTTCACATCCAATCCACAGGGTGTCAACCTCCAGGATGGATAATGTCTCAGGTAAAACCAGAAACAATCTGGCATCCTGTTCTGAGAGGAAAAGACTTTGGAATCCTTGGAAGGAGATATGTTCCCTCCTGTCTGCTCTCCTGCCCAGAGGTAGAAAAAAGCCTCCAGGGGACCTGAGGTTTCCCAGCAACCTCAGGCAACGTCCCAACTTCCAGTGACTCTAGCAGAGCTATATGCAAAGAGTACTGTCACCATGAGATGAGATGGAGAGTGGAAATCTTTGCTAACATACATTTTGAAATGAAGCTGAAATAAAAATGGTYTTGAGCACTTTTTGCTGTTGCAAAACCTTAGTTACTATCTCTTTCCCTCCCTCACCCTTTTTTTAAGGAAAAGAGAAAGGTAGGGCAGGGACAAAAGCCCCTTAAGAATCCTGTGTGACTGATTCCTAATTTGGTTGTGTGCCACACCCACAAATCAGGAGTCAAGTTCTCCCAATGCACTATTGACTATGAACTACAAACTGAGCTAAAATGCTTTCAAACSACAACTTTCCAAAAACACAGCCTAACATCTCACTCCTACATCCTTCAGACACAGTCAGAACTCTGAGGGTTCTTCCATCTACAACCAAAGCATCAGAACACAGAGTACTGAGAGTGGAGGCAGGACTGCCTATGGGGTGACTCTGGGCCTGGAGTTGTCCTTGGACTTTTTTTTTTTTCCTGCCTTAATCGTATTCATACCATCAGTAGTCCAGTATGTGTTAACATCATTAACATCAGTCCATTCTGATGATCYGGTTCAACTATTTGTGAATCCGATCCCTGGCCTCACTCTAACCAGTTAGGTTATACTTTCACCAATGCTTTTAGCAACTTCTCTCATATTTTTCCACTCACTTACAGATAAATTCAAGACTATCCAAAACTTAACAACTAGGGGATRCAATGTCTAAAATTCCTACTTCCTTGTAAACTAAGCAATGAGTTGTACTTCCTGTCATTCTAAAGGATTTCAACAATAMCAACCTCAGCAGGACTTGTGATGGGGAAGTGCATGAATGCAAATGTAGAAAAGGGTTTACAACACTGAATATGTTGCCTTTGGCAAAAAAGAAAAAAGTAAGCGTCTCATATAATTAAATAATTAACAGACTTAGTTTCTCCCATATGAAGAGGGACAAATCATTTCAGTCTTAATTAGCATCAATAGTTTACTTTTTCTCTTRGATGAATGAAGAGATCAGAAAAAGCCATTCTCAGGGAACCCCATTAGCACCTGATCTCTCCAACCTGGATCCACAACCAGGGGAGAGAAAGGAAATCATCCGTGATTGAATTTAAAAAGGGAGAACAAGTGAGAAATATCAATAAATACTGACAATATTGCCACAATGGCAGGCCAACACACAGCTGGCACATCAGGAATATCACATGCACGTAGAAAATACTTGCACACTTCCAGGTGGCCAGGCTGTTAAGTTGTATGACTGTTGGCTAAGATTCCAGTCCTGTCTTTCCAAAGATCTCCCCTTCAGAGGAGAAGTTTAAAGCTCCAAGGATGGTGGCAGCTGAYTGTATCTCTGAGGCCATCTCAACTTCAGCAGTCTGTCCCAGGTGTTGGACTATGAAAGACAAAAGATGACCAGGTTGGAAGCTACAGTGCCCCTGCCACATGCACCACCCCCACCCCCGCCTYGTACCCATGCCACAAGGACTGCTGGGGTTGAGTGTAACATCTACACAGTCTTGTGTCTCTCTCTGCCTCTCTGCACCGTGGACAGTGCCTCCCACCTCCCTGAGTGACCTCGGGTCTTCCATTTACCTGTACTGATTCTCCAGGGCCCGGCTCTCTGCTCGCTCTGGTACCCAGGAGTAACTATCAGCTGCACTCTGGGGCTTCTTCTCCTTTATCTCTTCCTTCTTGGCTCTCCGCTTGCGATAGACCAGAAGCCCCAAAGCCAGAGCCAGCAAGAGTGAGATGGCCACCACTGTGCCCAGGATATAGAACAGAAGCAGCTTTTGACCGTCGGTGCCAGAGTCGCTCTGGGTGGCCACAGAATTCTCATCTGCAGCCTTACCATGACCAGCTACAGCTATAGGGAGGTGGGTGTTTGGCTCTGTCCAGGTGCCAGGGGCCCCACTCGGGGCTGACATCTCCAGAAGGGCCGAGGTAGTGGGGGCATTAGATGAGAGGGACGGTCTCCTTGTGGTGGCTGTGCCCTTGGAGGTGTTCTCAGAGTCCTTGGGGAAGCTGGATGTCGTGGTAGAAGGCAAAGTGCTCCCCTCTGTGTCTGCCATGTCTTCCTCTTGGGGAGGCCCAGATGGTGATCCTGAGGGGACAGGGCTCATGATGCAAGAGACCCCATCGGGGGCCAGCTCCCAGCCCCGCAGGCAGCCACAGTAGAAGGACCCCTCCGTGTTGAAGCACAAGCTGTCACAAGGGTTGCCCCGGGGGTCGGAACACTCGTCCACATCCTCACATTGGGTGCTGTCCTCCCCGGACAAGACATAGCCCTCCTCACAGGAGCAATGGAAGGAGCCGTCCGTGTTGATACAGCGCTGGGCGCAGGGTGAGTGGCCAAGGGCACACTCGTCCACATCCCAACAGGTCTCCTCTTCAGGGCCACCAGGCGTGTAGCCCACCCAGCATTTACAGTGGAACCCCCCAGGGGTGTTGACACACTCCTGAGCGCAGGGGGCCTCCTGGCATTCGTCCACGTCCACACAGTCCAGCTGACTGGAGTCTAGACGGAAGCCCTGAGGGCAGCGGCACGTATAGTCTTTCTCGTGGGGTCCGGGGACACAGGTGGCCTTCCCTTGGCACGGGCTGGAGCTGCAAGGATTCCGAGAGGCACAGGTCACTAGGTCGTCCAGCAGCCGGAACCCTGGCCGGCAGCCGCAGCGGAAGGAGCCATCCCCACCTTCGAAACAGTCTTGCTGGCAGCCCCCGTTGTTGAAGTTGCAGCCATACTTGGGGCTCACACAGAGGGGACCTGTGTTGCCCCAGTTAAACACTTCGGGGGCCTTCTCCTTGCACAGGAAATAATGACTTTTACTTTCGGCCCCATCCTCACAGGCGACATTGGCCACAGAGGCAAAGGGCACAGCCTCCAGGGAGGAGGTGGTGGCCTGGAAGGGGGTGCTGTAGGTCACCTGGCCTGGACCCCCCAAGGCCAGGGGCCGGCACATGCCTTTGAAGCTGAACTTGCATACAAAGCCCTCGATATTGCTTCCTGGAAAGCCAGGGGTCCCACAGGGGCCATCAGACCACTTGGGGAGGCGGCTGGGGAGGGGTGTTAGGGACAGGTCCAGCAGCAGGGACACACAGCGGTTGGAGATGCACGAGTGCTTGACTTCTTTGTGCCAATTTGTATACAGGGAGTCCTCCCCTCCACCCACCCAGCTGAAGCCCTTCAGCGGCTTGTTAGGATCCAAGCACTTGCCCTTCTCCCGCTGGAGCCCAATCCAGAACTTGCCCATCTTTGCTTCACGGCTCTTCTGTGACTCCAGGAGCTGGGCCAGGGCTCGCTGGACGTGCTGGGCCTCCTCCTCGCTCTTCACCGTGGCCARATTGCCTCCGTTCACACTGCAGTGGTGCTGGGCCTCCGTGGCAGTCAACTTGTCCCAGTGGGCCGTGTAGCAGGCAGTCCCCGCGCACACCACAGCCTCTGGGTCAGCTCCAGTCCCCGCCCAGGCCTGGCCTAGGAGCAGCAGCAGGAGCAGGTCCCTGGAGGTGGCCATTCTGTCCTCTGGGTCCCCCTCAATGAGAGGCTAGAAGCCCCACAGGGACAGCAGTCACTGGCGCTTAGACTCCGGCGCCCAGCTGTGCGCTGAGGGGAGCTGAGAGCTGAGCTGCAGCAGGAGCTCCAGCCCAGAGAAGGACACAAAGACCGCAGGCTCTTCACATCCCCCTGACCCAAGGCGCATCCTGTGCTCTTGTACTTCTTATTTCTCACCGGATACTGGGGCTTCCTGCAGTGAATAGATTTCTGACTCCTGTTGCCTTCATCATGGTTTTGTTGTTCATAAAAGGAACCCGGCGGCTTTGCTGGGTCCCTGGCTCGGAGCTGTGGAAAAGCGACGCGGGGGGATGACTGTGCGGCTCAGAGATACTGGCTGCTTTATTTTGGCTCAGTTCTCCTTTCCCATCCACATGAGGAACCTAAATGGTATGCTACAGAGCAAGCAGAGACTTTGGGGTCTCAGAACTTGAAAAGGATCACTCCATAACCCATAATAAAATTCCACTTTGGTTTGCAAACAACCAGAAGAAGAAAAAAAAACAAGACTTGAAACACAAGGCCGTGGATGGTTATAATTTTCAGCCTTTTTTAGAAGCAAACTAGATTTTTTCTTCTTCCTATCTCATGTCTCCCCCCTCTCCTCCCTTGGCTTTGGAAGTCTTTTTTTTTTCTTTTATTTCCCCCCATCATGAACCTTAAATAGATAGGCAATTTTTAAATAGGATCTGGGCCGTGGGAAAGTTTGGGTTTCTAACACAATGCCAAGCTCCTTGAGAATATTAAACCAAATTGGGTGAGATTTGGCAGTTTTTAGGGGTTCGTTGTGCGAATGTTTCATTTTGAGGTGGCAGGGTCATGAAAACAGCATCAGAAAGAGGAAAAAAAGATATATATATATATATATATGATCTCATGGGCGCTGGCTTGTCTGTCTCCTCCCCTGGCTCTGGGGGAGTTCAAGGACAGGGAATTTGAATCAAAGACTGGAGTTTGACAGTGAGAATGACAATAAAGAGCTAGAGCTCTGGGCTGTAGAATCAAAGCTGTGGCATGACTCTTGCTGCACATGAATTCATCCAAAGCCCTTGAATCCAAGATTCTTTTCTTGTAATCATAGACCTCTGATCACCAGGACTTGTTTGGTTGGGGTCCCCCAGAAATAGATGCTGAGACAAGAATTTGGAGCAATTATTTTATTTGGGAAGGGAAATGAAACAGACAAGGAAGGGGCCCAGAGAATATGGCACAATGCAGCAGGTAACACTGGCCTCCTGTGAAGGCCACACTTCACAGTCGTCCCCGATGAAGGCAGGCAACCAGCAGTGCTCCAGCTCCTCTCCAGATGGCTGTATTTTTCCCTAATTTGGTCTTACAGTCTTTCTCAGGACAATGGCTATAAACTCTAGCTCTACCTACCTGACCAGGTGTCTCTCTCCCAGAAAAGTTGTAGACACAGGTGGATGCCCTTGTAGTTCCTGTCTCATCTGTGTCCTGTTTATTCTTACCAAGGTGGCAGCTCTCTCACTGGGGAAGAAGTTAGTTTCAAGGTGTGTTGTTCAAGTGACACCCAAAGGAGGAAGTTCAACTGAACACCTGAAATGACAGAAACGTTTGTACTATTTATAGGTCTCAGAGAGAAGAGGGCAGAGTGCCTTGCTGGGCCAATGGGAAGTGGGGAGCTGTCCAGATGGTAGGTACAGAAAGAAAGAGAGATTTGTAGGTCAAAACCCTTTTTGGGGTCCGGAGCATTACCCATGCAGATTGCCTGAGGAGAGTCTAATCAATGGTTCAGAACAAGCAGACATGAGTCCTGTGACAGTAATGGCCATTGCAGCAAATCTGCACAGTCATGCGTGATGCATAGGTGAGTGGGGTAGGTTGATAGGCATCCCGCTCTCCCATAGGGAGGTGGTAACCAGGAGGGAGTTATATAAGATATTCATCTGGACTGACCACATTAAGTTGCTGGAAGGAGATGGAAAACTAGGAATAATGTCAAAGTGCCTAAGCCTGGCTTCTGGAATATAAAAATCCAACTTCAAAGTCCTCAAAATTAACTCCGAGACAATGTAAACTTATAATAATTCACTACACAGTAGCAACTCCTTGGCACTCAGCTACCCATAAAGGCCCAGTACATTAGAGGAAATGCTCAGGTAGAGAACCACAGGGGACTGCCACAGGGCAGTGAGCAATGCACCAATATCTGAAATGTTGACTTCTATGGCAACCTGAGATGGGGCACCCTTCCTCTCAGCCTCCCCAAGGGATAAAAGTACCCATCTCAAACTCCAGCTAGGGACACCTCAGAAAAATATTCCTTATGTCCTTGTCATTTTAGAAAATCCATTTAAGATAGTCTAGGGACTTTTTCTCAGAGACCTCTGGATCCTCCTTGTGCTCCTTTGTGTCTATAGAGATCCTTCCATCCACCCACCTATCCATCACCTACCYGTCTACTCACCCATTTGTCTGTCCATCCATCCATCCATCCATCTATCCACCCACCTACCTGACAGTTGTTCCTACTATGGGCTGGGCTAGGCACCTGGATTTCAAGGAAGCATTTTTGCCTTCATGATCCTTGACATCTTTTGGAATGGACAAATTTGAACAAGTCACAGTATAAATCCACTTATTTGCAAGCAATTCAAGGAAAATGTCAGGGTGTCAAGAGAGGCCATTACCTGGGTAGGAACCTGGTGTAGGGTGGTGGGTAGTTTGGAAAGTCTCTTCTGTGAAGAAAGGCAATGAAGCTAGAATCTAAAGGAGACCCAGCTACTAGGCAGAATGATGTCCACATGGTGGATCAGCACACATCAACACCCTGCAGACAAGTCTGGCAATGGAGGGAGGTGAGACAAGAGCCTGGTGAAAGGAAGGGGAAATACAGGAGGAGATGGAGCCCTCTAAGCCCAGTCTGCACAAGGTAAGCTGAGGAACCAACCTGAGACCTGTAGATAGAAGGTAAGCAGACAGCAGACCCCAAGTGGTGTGAGGGTAGCACTCACCAGGCAGACTCAACTTTGACCTTGGGTTGCAATGTGGGCTTGATCCATTCATAGTCCCTCTCCTTGTCTGTACACCAGTTTTTGTGCAGCCCAGAGCCGGATTCCTGGATTCCTCAGTTAACTTGCCATCCTGCAGGAGTCGCCCAGCATGATGCATTGTTGGTGCTTAAGGATAGGGGTTGAATGCGTAACTTGCATCTTGATAACCACTCTGACCTCCAGATCTTTGCCAAGTGGTTCTTTATCTTTCACTTAAGAACTTTCAAATCTATTACTTTGACTTGGTCAAGTGTTGACATCTTAAAGAAGATAATAAACAACAAGGAAGTATGCTTTGTTTATTCACCCATTAACCTAGAAAGGATCTCTGAAGCACAAACTGTGTGAAAGGCCATATAAAATGCAGGAACCACCCTGCCCTGGGAGTCATAAATTCTACTTCATTATTTCCATTAACCTTATTAACTCAGCTCTTATCTCCCTCATCTATAAATAAAGGAGGTGGAAACAGAGCCTCTGGAGAAACTTCTTGTCCTGACATCAATCACAGTGATGTTATACTCCATAATTCCTTCTGAAATTGGTTAGAAAGCAGGCAGAAAGGGAAATGGGCCCTAAGACCACAGCTGAACTCTCTCTCCATATGCAACCAGATCTCTATCTAAATCGCACCCATGCAACTCCCCCCAGCCCACAAAACTGACCCACTAACTGTCAAAATGCAATGCAATTTTCCTACTAGTTATTCTTCTGATTTCTGCTCCATCCTTCAATCCTGCTGCTTGCTAGGGTTAATTCAACTGGGACATGCTGGACTTTCCAGCTCCAGGTCTCCCTGACTAAAAGGAGGTAGCAGAGGTCACAGAAAAACCAAGGGCATGGTGTCTGTGAGCTCCAGGAAAGAAGCAGAACTTACTTTTCCTGGACAGTTTTGGCTGACTTTTACCAATAAGATAGCTTGAGAGCAAACTGAGGAAACTGGCAACTTGCATATTAAATTCCCCCACGGGAAATGATTAGAGTGTGGATTATAGCAAACCTCTCCAAGGACTGATCCTTAAACAACAGGAATCAACAGCCCAGAGTTCCAAATAGCTTTTCTTGGTGGGTCTTTGCATAGAAACTGTTTCAGGTATCATAGAATAGTCACAAGCCTAACAGCATGATATGTTCCCTGAGTCACAGCCGCCAATCATCTGCTTTTATGTTGGAGTCTTTACTGAGTAGTCAGAGCTTTCCTTGTAAATTGCCTTAGAAACTTACTTTACATCACGCTGGGAATGGAATGTTCTGGTCTAAAATGTGGGAACACTTTAATCTCAATTATTCAGGAGCCGATTAACTGGTTTGTGGCTCATTCAGGCATCGGGCTTTTTTTTTTTTTTTCCTTTWTTTTGAACTAAAATTTGAATGAAGGAGGTTATACAAAGTTGACAGAATTTTTCTTGGTGCGACACACATATGGTGCCCTATATATACATCAGTTAATTTTCCTCCATTTGTTCCTTCGCTCAAGTGCACATTGAGCACCTACTATGCGCTGGGCTGTGTTATCTGCATGTGGAGGGGGAGGACATGGGTTGCAGAGCCTTATGGATCTTGTAGCAGACAGGTGGAATGAGAGGGAAGACAGCTAGGAGAATGTGACTGGCCACAGGCTGTTAGCAACAGCTGTCTTGGTGAGGGAAGGACATGTTCAAAGATGACCCAGGTAAATAAGGGACGTCAAGGGGTGAGATGGTCTCAGAGAGAAGGACAAAAATACAATCCACAGGACCTTCAGGTGGCCCTACCAGTGGCAAAACAGAAGGCTGTCACAGATCAGAGACCAAGAAAACACAGGTAATAGGTAGTTTTTCATTTATAGAGAATTTAAAACTGATTAAAGGTCTGCCTTCTCTTTACTATTTTTGAATTGTCTTTTTTCTTTTTGCCAAGTCCCAGCAATTGTAAACAAGGTCAATGATAAAATTCTCTTCCCTACAAAAAGCATTGGTTGCTCTGTCTTAAACAATTGTGGTCACCACCCCTGTTTTTAATAATCTATATTTAAGCTTTGGATTAACACTTTTAATCACTTATTCTTTAATAACTATTGTATTTGACTCAGGTTAGCATTGCACTTGACTCAGTTGTAGAATTGGTCCCAGCCACATGGACTAATTGGCCGTGGAGCAGGGGTTTACTGCCCGGCACACCTAGTAGCTAATACTATGACACCAGACTTTGTGTTTTGTTTTGTATTTTGTGGTGCTAGGGATCAAGTTCAGGGCATACTAGGCAGGCACACTT